GTCGTCCGAATCCGATGTTGATGTTCGCGTCATTGGGATTGTTCGAACTATTGTCCTCTATGAATATTTTAGGGATGACTTCGGACCACATTCTGAAGGCGAGGGCGAGGGCGGCGCGTTGGACACTTACCGCCAACTGGGAGCTGTAGCCAGACGTGACGAGGCGCCAGGTAATCAAAGACTGGGGGAAGAGATTCAGATATATTCGATCGGTTAGTCAGTGAAATCCGGGTGTCTGATTCCGTAGAGTTTTTTAAAACACGGATGAATGTTTATAAGTTATTGTTTCGAAATCTCGGGAATTTTACAGTCGTTTTTTTTTACTTAAAGAAATAATGGTTTAATAAACTGTGTCACTATTTCAGTTCTCAGATCAAATGAAGAAAACACAGACAAAGGTGGGTTAATAATGGTTTAATAAACTGTGTCACTATTTCAGTTCTCAGATCAAATGAAGAAAACACAGACAAAGGTGGGTTGGAAAACTCTCCATACAAGGGATAAGCTTACTGAACTATAAGACAGAAAGGAGATTTCATCTTTCAACAGACCCCCTGTTGTGTATTTTTTGGATATTGCACCATAATATGCTATCCTAAAAAGCACACTGTCGCACCTCCATAAACTGCTGGCCCAGGTGGGTGAACGCTGACCTCTTTCTGCGGCCGTGCTGCGGTTCCTCATCGGGCGTCTTTGAAGTGCGGGCAAGGATGTGTGGAGTGAGGGCGGCCAGGCGGGCATCCTCCTCCCCCGAGTGTATCCTGTCCACGAGGTCCTGCACCCACCGCCGACGCCGCATAGGAGCTTCCTGTGTCATCGGAGAGACAGCGGAACATCACGTCACAGTGGGATCTCCAACGCCAAGAGATAATGAGCATTTTTTTTTGTGATACTGTTAGTTGTGAATTGACAGTTTGTTGGGAAGTTTCGTGTAAAGTAGTGTCAATATGATTTCTGTCATGATGTAGGCAGCATAATGAAATCTGATTATATTACCTGTGGATGCGGTTCCCACTCCTCGTGTTGTATTACACTCGGATGTTTCGCCCTCGTGGCCTCGCGAAGGGCCAGCGCCACCCTGTGGAGCCTCTCCTGGTCTGGCACCGGTTCAGTGGAAGGATCGTATCGGTTTGCTGTTCCTCCCAACGACGTCCCTACCATACTTGCCTCGCTCTGTCGGTCATCGGACGTACTTTCCAGGGGTTTGGTTTGGTCCTTAGTGCCACCGTCCGTTTTTCCTCTCTCGGGCACGACCAAGCTTCTGCGTCGACGGTGGAGGAAGCTGACTATGTTGGGCGGCCACACCGCGGACGGCTCCACGTCGTCACTGTCTTCCTCCATGAGGTTGTCTGGGTTGCCACAGCGGGGTCTGGAGAGCAGCTCTAGGGTTGGAAGGTCCAGTGTGCCCCCTACGCCAACATGATAGGCTGCCTGTATAAAGTAAGTTAACAGCACTCCCGTTATTTTGACTCTAAATTTGCAAAACTGTATGTGAATCTCTAAACACACTATTAGCATGCACCCCCACCGTACTTACCTGGAACTTGTCAATGGCTTCCTGTATTTGCACTTTACTACAGACGGGCAGGTACTGGTAGCCGAGTTTCGCCGGATCCTCCACCACCACCGCTCGCCGGGCTCCTCGGCCTCGTCCCGTCAGGAGCTGCTCCATACCTTTCCGTCGCGAATACCAGTACGATTTCAATGTCGGTTCTATGATCTTGAGCCTAATCAGGGGAGTCTTGCCTTCGACGTCCTCTGTGCTCGAAAGGACGTAATCATTGATTTTCTTTCTGTAATATTGTTTCATATCTGTTGGGAGTCTCGGGTTTACAAGCGAGAAGAGTCTGAAGTCCAGTGGGGTGTACTGATGGCTAGTATTTGGTTCCGGATTTTCACGGCGATACAGAAGGAGGCGGTGAAGGTGCGTGTTGCGCTCGCTGCCAGGAGGAATGCAGTTCAAGTAGCCGTATTTTTCTAAAAGTTCCTGGAGTAAAATGTAAGATACGTCACACCACAATTGACATCAAGAGGTATAATATTAGTTATGAATAAAAATAATGTTCATATTTTTCAATCGTTCATACGTACCTCAGCATGTATTGCGTTCACAGTAGGTGTTGGTTCTGTGGGAGAATCCTCTTGTGATACTGATGTTGATGTGTGTATTGGTGTAAATGTTGTCTGTATATGCAATGGTGTATCTGTCGCAGTTGTGGATTCTGTGTATGATGGTGTAGATGGTACACTTGAAGTCTTTAATACTGGCACAGGGGAAGTTTGTATATTAGATGGTATGGATGCCGTAGTTGATAGAGTTATTGGTAACTGTGTATGTAACGATGGATCAGTTGTCGTTACTGTGACTGGTGGTGTAACTGGTGCTGCTGGACCGTCTGCTTGTGACTGTGTAACTGGTGCTAGTGTTTGCCATGATGTGATTGGTGTTACCAAACCCTCTGTTTGTGATTGTGCATCTGGTAATTCTGTAAGCAAGGACGCAACTGGCATGATAGGTAGCATAGTAGAAGACTCCTTCTGTGGGACGGATGACAGGGTAATTATATCATCGGTTCCTATTGTAGAGCGTAGTTTATCTGGTGGTATGACTATCTGTGTGGTTGTCTCCACGCGTGGTAATGTCGTTGATTCCGTGAGAAATTTTGATTTTGTAGATGGAAGCTCAACGTGGGTAGATATGGTCAGTGAATGTGTGGCTGGCTCTTCTGCTAACGGACGAGGATATAATGGGTGTCTCAGCGTCGGTGTACGAGGCGGCTCCCTTGGTAATGGTGGTGTTGAAGATTCCGCTAATGGTGTTGTTGCTGACAGAGGCGTGATGACAGGCGTGGTTGACAGAGTTGTGAATGCCGGCGTACTCGAGAGCTGTGTGAATGGAAGCGTTGGTATGACTTGGGTGGACAATGGAGTAGTAGTTAACGTCCCTCCAACAGATGGCGCTGTTGGCGGACTGTCCTCCTCTGGTAGTGTATTTGGATCTTTTACATGTAACGCTTCGGCTGACATTTGCTTCTGATGTGGTGAGGTTGACAGCTGCGTTGTTTGGGTCGTATATCCCAAACCTGCATGCTCCTCTGTGCCTGGCAGCTGGTGTGTAGACAATGCAACAAATGCAACATGCTGTGGAATGAGCAAGGGCTGCGAATGGTGCGGCGTCGCGGTGGGTATCTGAGGGTCGTGGGGGTTGGGTGACCACGATACGCGATAGAAAGTCGATGGGATTTGCGTGTCTGGGAGGATCGTGGATGCCTCGGGGTACTGCGCGGTGGGAGGTTGTTGCGTGTGTTCTGTTGATGCGAGTGGTGGTTGAGTGGATGTTAGTGCTGGTTTTGTGAGTGTTTGAGGCGCCTGTTTGGGTGTTAGAGGTGCCTGTTTGGGTGTTGGAGGTGCCTGTTTAGGTGTTGGAGGCGCCTGTGTGGGTGTTGGAGGCGTGGGTGCTAGTGGTGTTAGTGTGGGTGTTAGCGACGCTTGTGTTGGTGTAAGTAGTGATAGGAATGATGTCTGTGTGGATGTAAGTAATGTATATGTGAGTGTTACTGGCGCCTGTGTGGGTGTTAATGGTATTTGTGTGGATGATATTGCCGCCTGTGTGGATTTTAGTGGTGTTTGTGCGGAAGTCCTGGCAGAAACGTGCGTCTGAGAAAGGGGGGTGTTGTTGGTGGGATCACAAAGTACCACGAGACTGATGTCTGCCAAGGCCACGGCGATGAGAGCCGTCTGCAGGGCCAGTCCAGGCCGCATCTGGGAGGACGAGAGAAGGCCTTTGAGAGACAGGAACAAAAAATATGTTTTTATATACACCAGGCAACGGTAATGAGGTAATAATAGGTCAGAGGCTGAACAAACTGACGAACAAGTATAAAAGAAGCAAACACTGAGATAAATCAACAGATAGGGAGATACACACAATATATTTGTACACACACACACACACACACACACACACACACACACACACACACACACACACACACACACACACACACACATACACACACACACACAGACAATGACGTATAGCGAAAGTGAGATAGAGAGAGAAAGAAATACAATACCAAAACAGACTGATATATAGATACCCAACAAGGACTCTCAGACTCAGTCTAAATTACACACACACCATAAACTGAATCAATCCAGCCTCCAAAATAAAATGAATTAAGGTTACAGAATGTATCACCTACAGACAACCTGAGTGACAACATGAAGACATTAAAGAAAATATGATTATCGATAAAAGCAACAAAGAAAGGAAAGGAAATTAGCTGATAATTGAAAAAACAGGTGAATAAAGAAATAAATTAACTAGGTCCCACCAGCTACAGACTCTCCCCCTCCTCCTACCCCCTTGCTTCATTCCATATTCTTTACTTCACTCATTCATTTTAAACTGTTAGTCATAGGGTTATTCACTCCCTCCCCCCCTCTCCTGCTCACATTTCTCCTTAAATTTTGACCATTTCACTTCCAAACTTAGAAAACGTAAATCCATTTTTTAAAAATCCACTATTAAGTCAGAAAGCACGTGAGATCACTCCTATGAAAATGACGAAGCGTATATTGCGTTTGTTGCACATACTGAACACGTTGCACCGTCTCGGAGTCCGAACGGAATGCGAGAGCGAAGGTAGGTTCTTCCAGCAGCTGTTTTAATCTCTTGAATATCACGTAACACTCGCTAATGCCGTAGGATGTGGCTTGCGTTCCTTATGCTAATTTTTCGCAGCGTTGAATGAGGGAATAATTAATTCTGATTGTATTCTCGGGGATTTGTGGGGACGCTAGGGGGATTTGAGGATTTAGGAAGGGGGGGGGAAGGCCTGGTATTAAGGAGATTGGCAGTGTCTTGCGTGTGTGTGTGTGGAGCCCGAAGTTACTGTGGTCGTCAGAGAATAGACGTGATGTGTGTGGTGAATCAGATGTGCGATAAAATTAAAAACGTACACGTATGTATATATAAACATATATACATACATACATACATATATATATATATATATCTATATCTATCTATCTATCTATCTATCTATCTATCTATCTATATATATATATATATATATATATATATATATATATATATATGTATACACACACACACACACACACACACACACACACACACACACACACACCACACACACACACACACACACACATATATATATATCTATAAATACACACACACACACACACGCGCGCGCGGGTGTGTACATACGTATGTGTATGTATGTATACATATATGTATACATATATACATATACATATATATATATATATATATATATATATATATATATATATATATATACATATATATATATATATATATATATATATATATATATATATATATATATATATATATATATATATATATATATATAATAATAAAGAAAGAGAAAGAAAAAATACCCAAGGGAAAGATAGACGAAAGGAAAGGAAAGAAGAAGAGGAAGGAAATGAAAAATATGTGCATACGAATATTCGGCCTTAATTCGTTTTTTTTCCCACTGGCTCTTTTAAACATACAGATGAATTGAGATAAACCGATGACATTTATTCATTTTCATATGTAAGTGCTTGCGAAAAGTTTTTTTTTTAAATCAATAATTACCAACTGAATTCAGTATCTAAATCATTAGTTGATAATGATAATAATGATAATAATAATAATAATAATAATAAAATGATAATAATGATAATAATAATGATTATAATAATGGTAATAATAATTATGATAATGATAATGATAATAATGATGATGATAATAATAATAATAATAATAATAATAATAATAATAATAATTGTAAGAAGAAATAATAACATTAGTAATAATGATAATGATTATAACAAAAATAATAATCATTAACAATAATAATAATAACAGAAATGATAATGATGATGGTAAGGATAATAATGATAATAATAATAATGATAATAATAATAATAGTAATGAAACAGTAATGATAATGATAATGATGATGGTAATAATGATAATAACAACAATAACAATATTAACAATAATAATGATAATAATAATAATAATAATAATAATAATAATAATAATAATCATAGTAAAGACAGTAATGATAATGATAATGATGAAAATAATGATAATGATAATAATAATGATAATAATAATAATAATGATAATAATAATAACAATAATAATAATAATAATAGCACCAATATAATAATAATAATAATGGTAAGAGTAGTAATAGTAATAATAGCAATGATAACACTAATACCAATACTAATATTTCTACTAATAATAATGATAAGGATGATAATAGTATAATACTGACAATGATAATAATAACAATGATAGTAATACTGATGATGAAATGATAATAATAATAATAATAATTATTATTATTATTATTATTATTATTATCATTATTATGATAATGGCAATAATGATGATAACAGTAATGATAATAATATTAATAACAGTACTAGTAATAACAATAAATCTAATGATAGCAATAATAATAATAAAAAAAGAAATAATATTAATAACAACAATAATACTAATGATAGTAGTAACAATAATGATAATAATAACAGTAATAATATTAATATTAGTAATAATAATAATAATAATGTAATAAGTATTAATAATAGTGATAATAATAATGATGATGATAATAAAAGTTGTAATAATAATAACAGTAGTAGTAGTAATAATAATGATAATAATAATGATAATGATAATAGTAATAATAATAATAATAATAATAATAATAATAACAATAATAATAATAATAATAATAATAATAATAATAATAATATTTATGATAATGATAATAATAATAATGATAATAATAATAATAATAATAATAATAATAATAATAATAATAATAATAATAAAAAGGATAATAATAATAATAATAATAATAATAATAATAATAATAATGATAATAATAATAATAATAATAGTAATGATAATAATGATAATTATTATTATTATAAAATAAAGATAATGATAATAATGACATTAATAATAATAATAAGAATAAGAATAAGAATAAGAATAAGAATAAGAATTAGAATGGCAATAAGAACAATAACAACAACAACAACAACAATAATAATAATAATGATAATAATAATAATTATGACTATAATAATAAGAATAATAATTAGAATAATAATAAACATAGTAATAATAATAATGACATTAATGATAATAATGATAATAATAATAATAATAATAATAATAATAATAATAATAATAATTAGAATGGCAATAACAACAATAACAGCAACAACAATAGTAGTAGTAATAATAATAATAATAATAATAATAATAATAATAATAATAAACAGAAAAAAATAAAAGCATAATATTGGTAATGACAATACTAATACTAATACTAGTAATAATAATAATAATAATAATAATAATGAGATGATGATAATACTAATAAACGTAACGATTTACACTTGGTCTCCATTGTTATTGTATAATACATATGCAAATGCAGATTACGTGCTGATGTACAATTCTCAATAAAATGAAAATAAAGGTCATGTCTAATTATCTAAAAGTTGAGAATGTTATCTCATGGAGAAGAGCAGATACGACTGGCTTATTAAGTTAGATTATATCGTAATGATTTACTTATGATAGCGGCTAAATAGCGTGGTGTTGATGGTATGATTGTATATGTCGAGAGATTGATTAGTTATAGAGACAAGACGGAAATATGAAGTATATTTCTCGGGTTTTGTGTAGTGTGATAATCGGTCCATTGAATCCTTTAGTTCATCTATATCTTGTGAATTTTTTTTTGATATTCGTTTTTTTTTCTCTAAGAAGTCGTACTATCGTATTCACTCACATTTACCGTAAAGGAAGGAATATACATTTTAGTCCCTGTTAAGTAACTGCCTCCAGATTATGGTGTTGTCTGCATTAGTTCAAATAAAATGTATTTTGTGTTTGTTATCAGACTTGTCAACCCGTCAACCAACAACCAACCACCTATCATATACTCGTATACATTTCAAGATGTTTGTATTGTCGTTTTTAATGAAGCAAAAACTAGCTTATCATTTTACATACAGCATTTTGATAAGTGGTTTAAGCATCTGACACCGCTATTCTGTCTTCTGCTCCTATTTCCTACAGTTTAATTGTTTTTGTTTTAATTATTATCATGTTAGGTGGAAGCATACAGTGGCCTTTGGTGGAAGTCATAATGTACAACTACTGGTTCAGTCGAAGCACCATGCATCCCTTTATAAAAATGAAAAGCATCTTTATTGCTCCTTGCGAAGAAAACATAGCAGACTAGTTTGGTTTGGAGAATGTGTCCGTTATTATTGAATGTCTGGAAATGTATGGTTAGTCATAGGGTTAAGTTTGAAAGCTTGAACTACAAATAGGCATACAGTTCAGAAACTATGAGTGTGGCATCATATGTGGGAAGTGTAGGGTAAGTATGTGGTTATCATCACACACCTTACACTAGAAGTCAAAACCACAGTATATTCATGTCTATCAAAATAAATTATTAATAATAAATGATAGTAATGATAATAATAACAATGATAATGATAATGATATGTATGGATCTATGACAAATGTTTAACTGCATAAAGAAAAAAAGCAAATTGGGTGAACAACATCATTTATATGTACAATGCCTTAAATGTGGAGATTGCATACAAATATTTTAAACTTTATTGATTAAAAAAAATATAATGATAATGATAATGATGATTAATATCAT